AACCAGAGGAAACATCTTAGCTAATAGCAGCAACACCCAGACCAGATGTGAGGGAACGAATGGACGCACCCATGGGCAATTATTTTTATATTATTCAGTCTGTGTGACTGTCTGACAGCGGCTCCACAGTTGGAACTACACCAGAAGGTTAAAGCAACAAAATATCTTATTTATGCTTATTTGATAACCATAAAAATTCATTTGATATACTTGATTTGATTTTATCCTGACCTCGGTGCAGCAAATGCAGTGGTCATTGTTAGCAAGCACTTTTTTTCACATGATGCCTGATAGTAACATCAGATAGTTATTGTATATAAATTATGGTGATGAGCTTTTTCCTGGTGCAGCTGGCCGGCCCAATTTCAGATGAATCAGAGGAATCCATGCTAATGTGCTAAGTGGATGCCGCCTAAAACATAAGGTAATCAACAACAGAGCATTCCTAGTGATATCATCTGTTTTAATGACTTAACTTCATGTCTTAACTGTTATTCCATTTGACGGCTAATTTATTTGTTGTCTGTAGGCCTTAATTTTGAACTGGACCTGGATTCAGAGTTTTATATCTCACCCACATGTTCGTATTACATCATTGGACCAACAGTCAATCTGGTAGCCTTCTTAAGTTAGCGTGAGTATGTCCGATTTGAATCTCAGTCCTTGCCAATTAAGTAAAACCATGCTTATACTGCTGTGTATTCATTCTTACATGAATCTTTTATTTGGTCTCAGACTAGAGCTGAGACGCCAGAAAATGTGTGACACTGTTCCACATTAATAGATGACAAGGGTGTTTTGAAATGCCTAATGTACAATAGTCCTTTGGAGAAATGGATTGAGCAGAGTGTGCATGCTTTTCAAATCATAATCCATTTTCCAAGCCTTAGTGAACTTGCTCAAGAATGGTCTGTAGTCCTTAGCTGAGGGGCAATACAGCAGGCCAAGTTACCCAAAGCTCTTCTCAGGACTCCCATACCCCTATGATTCCCATCAAGCTGTTCAGCAACACTCTACTACCTGCATTAACGCTGTTTAGGCATTCCTCAGACATTGTTAACATCATACTTCTGCAGTACATTTTATCTGAGACATTCAATGTGGTGGTAGCACAGTTATTAATGCATCCGTGAGGTCTGCATCCTGAATAGGAATCTAACAATAGGCCTTCTCCTGGAGAACAGGGGTGGGAATTGCTACAGGCCCCAATAAGTCCTACACTATAATCACAAAACTTGAGCTATGATACAATTACATTGTGATATTAAAAGCTTTGTGACATACTAAGAATTGAGATACTGCATTTTGCAATATATGTTTACGCGGTAGAACATGTGAGAGCAAGTGTTATCATGAACAACATCACGGCTGTTATTTGGTGGCAGGCATGAGCAGAAGGCGAGTACTGTAGTATCATCACACAACCTTGAGTGTTCTTGCATTTATACAACAGTTCAGAAAAATCAAGACAAAAGTAATGCAAAGAAGTTCCAAACACAATATTAGAAATTATTTCAGCCAAAGAATTTGTACCTTCACAGTCAGGTTCAGATTTTTAAATACTTGCCAGATCAACCTGAATGCCATTTTGCTCAAATCAGTCTGTGAAGCATTTCACAGCTTGCTTAGAGGGAGAGGTTTGGAATTTGATGTCGGCCTGCTGTCACTCTTCCTCAGAATCTGACCAAACAGGTCAGATATTATTTTACAGATTTTATCTAACGTAACTAGAGGTAGGTGATATGGTACAAATGTAACATTACAATACCTGAAGGCATTTTCACAATACCGAAAATATATCACAATATTTCATTTTTTTATTTGATAAGTTGGAACAGAAAAAAGCAAAACTAGTAGTGCCACATTTAAAAATACTATAAAAACTATGACCATAGAGATTTTTGTTCAATGTTTCACATACTCTGTTGCACTAAACACAATTAAACAGGATGAATTAGGCTCTTCTTCTGATGAAACATGCAGTCGGTCAGTGTTCTTTAAGTACTGACGATATCCATGATGGGCTCGGAAAACCATATTCTGTCATAATGTATCATGATAATGATAAAACATCACCATCTTGCTCACCCCTGTAACTCTTTCTGTTTTATATGTGCTAAAACGCTGCAGCGTACAGTGAGTTATAACCGGTGTTCAGCAGAATAAGAGTTATTGTGAAAAACTGGTTGAGAAGCATTGTACCTGTGCTGTTCTTTGTGACAAGAGCAGAGGTAGAGCTCTTCTCAACAAATTTACAAATGTTACACTTCTCTCCAATGGTAATTCCAGTGGATTTAGTCCTGATCATTACTCTGTTTTGCAAATGTGTGTATCTTCATCATCATCATGATTGATAGACAGGTTAATGACAAAAACAGTAGCATCATTGTCCTAGAAGTCCCATTTCAGTTCATCTTCAATCACCACCCCTCAGTTTTTAGCCCTAAGTTGAAATAAAGACGTGATTTAAAAAACTGGTTCAGCTGTAGACTATGAAACCCTGGAGCACTGAGTTTACAACACCCTCTTGTTTCATTTAAAAATGCATACAAGCCTTGTGCTATAATGGTCTACATGCACAGTCCACCAGACGCTACCTAAATAGTTGAGAAAACTTAATATACAATTTTCACAAACACAGGGGAGGTGATGCTGTTAGATGAACTGAGTTTACTAAATGCTATGTACCTTTGCTTTGGCTTTGTCACACGGGACCAACTGTGTGGGGTAACAGTAGAACATTAGCAGTCAGAGCTTAAGCAAAAACAGCTTTCCGAAACAGGCCAAATGATCCTAGTACAAGAGATCACAAATTTTCTTTCCAATTATAAAGAGACATTTTGGCTACAACAAATTACTCTCATTGGTTTATCCCAACAGCTCAAGTTGTGGCCCAGTTAATGACACTTTCGGTTTAGGAGACAAGAGCATCTGGCCATGAGAGAGCATGGCTCACGTCCAAAACTCCAGTTTGAACAGGAGGAGGGAAAAAAGAGAAGGCCTTCTATTCAACTGCTTTGTCTGACTCAAAACGGTTGACATACTAAAATTGTTAAAGGGGAACTCCATCTATTTTTCATAAACTCTACATAATTAAATAGCTGAGACGTAAACAAAGTCATTCAGAGTGGTTTGATGTAAAATGCTCTGTTCTAGTGAAACTTGCTGAGTCAGTGGTGGTGATAGGAACCAGACATCTGAAGAGCTGAATGCCTCTGAAAGCTCCCTCATAGAAAGTTATTACAAGAAGTGATTAGATATATGCTGCCTGATGTCTGACACATTGTTCTATTATAGTTCTGTAATAACACTTTGTATTTTAATCAGTTTATTGTAATCCATTCATGACATAGGGGTGCATGCAAGGCATTGTAAGACAAAATTTTACCATTAAAACTACTGCATATAAAACATGTGAAGACAGTGTAGGTTCACTGGATAGTAAATAAAATGGATAGTAAATAAAATGGCTATATTTGTGCTGTAGCCATTGTGACCCCCGGTTCCTATCACCACCACTGTAATGAAATTAGTGTCTGAAAGTTTCTCTACAATAAACCACTTCACATCCAACAAATCTAAATGACTATGTTTACATCTCAAGGACTGAATTTTCTGAAATTTTGAAAATTTGGTGGAATTCCCCTTTAACTGATTTATGTGGCCCTGTTTCCTCTTGCTTGTCGTCTTGCTCAGACCACGTCTGCTTCATGAAACGGCAGTTCAGGCGCATGTCTACGTTTTTCATGCACAAATAGGTTTCAGCCTATCTAAACTATGAAGAGGAACAACCAAGAAAGGAACTGAGAAAAATATTACATACAGCACGAGCCTCACTGGGATTCCCCGATAGCTCGCCTTGTTGGAAATGAATCAATAGTGAAGAGAAAGAATTCACTGTATCGTAGCCGAGCCGGGTGTCCGCTTTGTTACACTGTCATCGCATGTAGGGCTTTTTCTCTCACACATGAACGTAGTTACCGTTTAGTAACATGCTAATGTAGCTCATTATGCATTATAAACAGTGCTTAGGGCTTCACTAAGGCTGAATGGAAATGTGCAGGCCAGATGCAGGAGAGGAAAAACACAAAGGGATCTCGGCCACTGCTTAAGCTTAGTTACTGTCCTCCAGCATTGGTGTTCGGACATCTCTGTAGATATCTAATACATATCTAATATCAAACTGATCATAATTGGCATGTGGTTGACAGAAAATGACTATTTTTTAATAGTCGCCTTACTGGCATCCGGAGAGAATTCACGTTTATAACATAAGATAGTCTATCGGATGGATGCCTGAGTGACACTGACAGACCAAGCTCGTAATTTACGTCCCTTTCAGAAGAAATAACTTAAATTCACTAAACCTATTATGCATTTGTTAGGCCTACAATATTGAAAGAAATATTAAACACGTTTTTTAAGCGCGAGGCTGAAGTTGGCTACCTATTCTCCAGCGTCTCGCTCGAATTTTCCCGTTCCACCTTAAATAGTGCAGCAGTAACATTCTGGCGCCTGTAACTGCTGCACCATTTAAGGCGGAACGGGAAAATTCGAATAAAAAGCTGGCGAATATAAAGCTGACTTCATCTTCGTTTTTAAAGTTGCCAGCGGCGGGTCGTAGACATTTCTCAATCACAAACAGGCAAAGTCAAGGCAAGATTCACGATGCTGGGACAGCTATTGATACAGTCATCGAGAGAAAAAAAATATCTGGCTAGCTGAGTGGACACGTTGTGATGCTACTTGAAGTTACGCCGGCCGAAACGTGTTTTTCTTCTATCAAGAAACCGACTTCCAGCCCAGCTTAATAACCAGACCGCTATGTGAAGAAGATCCAGTAATGGCCTCAGGTCAGTAAGGTTAGAAATAGCCATAATAGCATTTTTGATACCAACAATAAGCTAGCCTCGGCTTCTGCAAATGCCTTACCGCTATCAATGCATCATCGAACATCATTCCTAAAAATAGATATCCTGATCATAATAGTCGCGACTTACCCCTTTTCTGTTCTCCACAGGCAATTTTTGCAGTGATCCAATGCAGCAGATAAACGGTTTTCAGAGCCCTGCCCAGTGTGCGCTGCTACGTCTCAGTTGCTCAGCAATAACGTTATTCCTAACAAATAGCGGCGACCTACGGCAGGCAGGAATCGGGCAAGTAGGACATTTACAGCAGCGCCAGCGTCTGCAGTTCCAGCACAGTCCGGTGGGCGTGTCTTTTACCGGGGTTGCGTCTCAAAAAATGTGTTTTAACTAGACACAACATAATATTGTTGTGCGACAGAAAGCTAGCATAAGTTAGCACTTATGATAACCACAACACTTACGATAATAATACAGTGAAAATATAATTGTTTTATACATGTTATCGTTTGCCCCGCCCTCTCAGTGAATTACAAATACCCTGCGATCTGTAGTTTTTAATCTGTCCGCGCCCTTTAAGAGTCTATGGGAAGCGGTCTACAATAAGACTACAGTTCCCGGTAACCTTTGCGGCGTTTACGGAAGTATGACCTTAGATTCAACTGTTGACGGTTAGGTTCTGTCACAGGTTGTAGTTCAGTGTCGCTTTTATTCATTTTGTTTAAAAATGTTGATTTGTAGATTAAATTAAAGCGCCTAACGAAAGTCTGCTGTGCTTCTCTTTACTTAGACAAAAATGAAGCCATCACTGGACTCGGACGAGGAGGAAGAATTAGGAGCTTATCAAAAGAAACTGAGAGGTGATGCCGTTAGTTAGCTAGGCAACATGTCCCTTTAAATCCGTATTATTGTTTTTTGTTGTTGTTGTTTTGCTATTAGTTGTTTGCTTTTTCTTCGCATATAGGTTAAACTGCTAGCGCTGCACTATACTTTTCAGTGGTTAACTAGCTTCATAACACGCTGCATAGCTAATTCAATTAAGGACTAAAGGAGAACCACATTAGTTATCAGTTGGGCGTTTGTTGTGCAAACTGTACATGCCCTTGAAATGTTGTATAGCTAGCTATTGTTCTTTAGAACGTGTCAGTTAGGCAGTTAACATTCTGTTACTGGTGGTACAAACCTATTTATTTATTGAAACATTACAGTAATTAAAACCACTTACAGTTATGAGCCTTCTCGTGATATCTGTATAGAAAGAGGAGCTGATATATTTTGCAGTTTTATAAAGAGCCAGATATTAAAAAAAAAGAGATGAATGAGATCTGAAGTGTTCTTACTCAGTTCAACGCTCTTCATATTGTGTTGTTACTTGCAGTATTGAGTGTGGTTCCGTTCTTTTATAAAGGTTACACTCACCTGCAGCGGTTTAAAATGTATTTTCCACTTGATTACCCCCAGAGAGAGCAAACCGAAGTATTCAGCAGCTGAGCAGCATGTTAGCAAACCAGAGCTCTGACGCTGAAGCCTTGGAACAGGGGAGCAGTCAGAACAGCCTGCCGGAAAGCTCATGGCAGAACGTACAGCAGAGTGAAGCAGGTACAGCTCTACATGTATACAAGTCACACTGTTGTTTCTTAGGGCTGAAAGATGAATTGTGTTTATAACCACATGAACACCCAAATGATGTGTACATGACAACAAGCCAGAAAAAAAGTGGATATGCTGGTCATCTTGGCCCAAAAACAATGCAGGCCTGGGCCTAAATTTTTTAGAAAACAACATTTATAACTGCAGTCACAATATTGGTCTGAAAAATCACATTTAAATATTTTCCCTAAATCATTTTAGTACTGTTATTTTAAGAGATCTAGATCATGAAAAAGAGAGAGGTGTTGTTAATTACTTTCTGTGATTTTATATTCCAGCCAATCAGCTACGTTCTTTGCTTCAGAGACAGTCCAGAGAAGCACAAGTTCAGCCTCCTTCCCCTTCAAAGAGGAAATCTGTTCCCAAGGTAGGTTACGTGAGTTCAGTGATAAATGATTAAGATCAGTAATTAGTAGTTCACCTCACGTCGTACTTAGCTGTATTTTAGATTTGCGTTTAGCCTAAACAAATACTTTTTAAATTTAAATCCATTTTCTCTTTTAATACTAATATAGATGTATTGCTCTTTAGAATTGTTTTTGTTTTGTCAAAAAAAATGGAAACCTCAAAGTGAAAATATCTTCAAGGTGTTCTTATGGTTGTGGTTTTTGTATGTTTTTAATTTTGGAGAACTGATCTTTGTTCTGGTGAAACAGCCATGATAAGTATTGAGTAGGAGCATGAAATTGTGATTACAGCTCTATAATAACAGATATGAAGCTTTATGGGAACATACACATCTACCTAGGGTTGTCACAATACCCTGATTCCGATTCATATACCAAGTGCAGTATCATAGTGCTTAATACCAAACAATACTTTGAAAAAATGAAAACACTCATCATTGTCTGAACACCAGATGTTCATTGAATTAAACACAGAAAGATATTCAGTTTTTGTACAGCTTAATTAACAACTGTTTTTTTGAATTTCAGTCTCTTTTATTAATACTAAACACCCTTGAAATGTTAAGAGTCAAATAAGTAGCCAAATATTTTAAACACTTAGCTTTATTCAGTTTGTTCTAAGGGACGATTAACTGTCAGTTGAAGAAATACAACACAGACTTTGTTAAAAAGTTTTAATATTGTTTAAAATAATAACAAAATGGATTTTACCATATTTCTTTTGTTGCTAGGAGCATATCGCGGATTTAAGACACTTTCAAATTATGTCAAAAACTGAAAAACATGAAAATGGAGATACAGGGTTTTGTTCCGACAGCAGCGAAATGTTACTGATTAAAACTGTTCACCTGTATATTTTATGTGTGCTAATGGACACATCTCTGCCCTTCCCAGTCAAATTACAATGCACAATTTCTTAAAAATAAAGGTTCCTAAATAATTTTTGGCTGAGATTTATGGTTCTACTAAAACCTTTCATTGGTGTAGAACCTTAGTATTTTATTAAGTTCTTTAAACTTTAGGTTCTTCACACTTGTATATTTACAAAATTTGTTATTTTATGAAATCTTTAATTGAACAGTTCTTTAGTGAACCCAAGTGGTTCTTCTGTGGCATCACTCTTAAAGGGGAATTCCACCAATTTTTCAAAGTCTTTGCATAATTGAATTGTTGAGATTTAAACAGTCATTCATAGTGATTTGAAGTGAAATGATTAATTAAAGAAAAACCCATTTGGATTTCTTTACAGTGCTGTTGGTAGGAACCAGGGTTTGTGATGTTTACAACACAAATATAGCCATTTTATTTACTATCAAAACCACTAGTGAACCTGCATATGTCTTCTGAGTTTTTTTATGTAATGTTGATAATGGTAACGGTGGTAGATGTGGAAAATAATTTTTGGGGGACTATTTTGCCATACAACACCCTGCATGTACCTCTCTACCATAAGTGTTTAAAATAATACATTTTAGGCCAAAAAGCTTATTTCAGAATTATCATAAAACAATGTCTCAGTCATCAGGTGGAGCATTTCTACCCATTTCATGCAATAACTTTCTGTGATGTAGCATTTAGAGACATTAAAATCTTTACATGTCTGGTGTATTTCACCACCTCGTTAAACAATTCTGACTCTCTAGAATGGAGCATTTCTCATCCAGTCACGCTGAATGACTTTATTTGATGTCTGCCTGGACCCAGCTAATTTAAATAAAGAACTGAGACTGTCCAAAGTTGGAGTATTTAATTATTTGCCACAGTGCAGTATTGAAAAATATTGAAGCTTTGAGACATTGCACATCCTCACTTTTACTATGTGTGCTCTCAGTTTTATCAGAGGCAAAAAAAAAAATCTTAGAACGGTTACAAGTGTGTTACCTGTAACCTGAATTAATTAAGTGCCTTAAGTGGATCATATCTTAACATTATCTAATGCTGCTATGGTATATCACTGCATACTAGAAATGGATGGTCTGTTTAAACATTTGTCCTTCACTCCTTAGGTACACATTCAGGTCATTGCTCAGTTAATTAGTACCTCCTGCAGTGCAATTCCGATTATATTGATTTATCACATCATGGCCTTAGTAGCCTGTGGTAATTAGAAATGATTGGTAGCCTTTTTCTCTCAAGGCGACATGAAAGTGCAGTAAAACAGTTAGGATGCAGTCTTTTTTTCAGGTTCACAGTATGTAAATCTGTACAACACACTTTCACTCACTCTTCTTCACTCCTTGTCCAGCAGAAGCACACAGATGAGGATGGTGGCAGTTTGCCTGCAGTTCAAGACTTGGTTCCCATCATTCACAATCAGTCAGAGTACATCCAGCACCTTGAGGCTGAGGTCAAGTTCTGCAAGGTCAGTTCTATTAATGAAGGTGAAGTTTTGTTATTCTTTGCTTGGTTGTTTTGCTTGCCGTGGTATTGTTGATGTGCCTGTGTGAATACTGTCACTTGTCAATACATTTGGCTGGCACTTGTCCCATAGACGTAAGTCATGATATGCACAAGATACACAAATGAGACTTCTTTCTATGTACTGGCCAGTTTATTGATGTTCTTGTATCTTTGTGTTTATGTATTTATGTTTTTTCCCCTGTTTTTTCCAAAGGAGGAGCTTCTTACAATGAAGCAACGAGTCAGAGTGGTGGTTGTGGAGAATGAGAAACTGCATGAGGAACTCAAAGCAAAGATGGTGGAAGACACTTTAAAGGAATACACTCTCTTGGATGGCACGGTATTTACTATTTAGTTGTGTTACAGAGAAACTGTTTTGTTTGATCATCAAAAACACAATACATTGACTCAGACTGTAGCAGTGCACACAGGTCTTTGTTTGTGTTTTTCATGTCATCATTTTCAGGTAAATGGAGAAACCACAGTAGATAAAATCACTTCAACTCCAGCAGCAAAGTCAAGACTGTCTTCTAATCACCAAATGGAGGACAACAAGTGGAAAAAAGAGCTGGTATTTGCCTATGTACCTGAGTAAAATGATCAAAATGCTCGAAGACAATTTTCAAAAGTTCCAGTGGATTTTCAAAAGTTAATTCAGAGTAGTTTAATGTAAAATAATTGTAGAAAAATTTACTGACTCAGATTTTTTTACACTGGTGCTAATAAGACCCCAGAGTCTAGAATGCAAATATAGCCATTTTATTTAATGTCCAGTGACCAATGAACCTACATGTGTCTTTTGATTTTATATGTAATGTTGATAATGGCAAAATAGTGGCAAATCTTTTCCTCCTTCATGAATAGATAAAAACATACCTTCTCAAAACTATAATGAAACAATGTCTAAGACATGAGGCAACACATTTGTAAACATTTCGTGTAATAACTTTCTATGAATGAGCTTTTAGAAGCATTAAACTCTTCAGCTGTCTGTTTCCCATCAACACCGCTGTGAGCAGTTCTGACTGTTTAGAAAGGTGCATTTCACATCAAACCACTCTGAATGACTTTGTTTGCATCTTAACAAACAAACCAGGGGTGAAAACTGGGGTCCTAGATTGTCTGTGTCCAGCATGGTTTGGATTTGGATTTTCCTGCTCTTCGCACACCAACTAAACTTACCAATTAACTGCTACCTGATTCACTTCCCTTTGAGTAGGACAATTATGAAACTGTGCTGGACTCCACCAGTGATATATGCAGACATTTTGACAAACTGGTGGATTTCCCCTTTGTTACTTGATTAGGATGACTTACCTAAAAGCGTGTTGCATTGAGACCAGTGTACATCATTAAGCATATTTTGAGTTTTCAGTTTTACCATTAAGTTGAGGAGTTCAGATTACACTTTGTTTTCAACGCCCATAATCTGACTGTTTCAGGAGCAGCTGAAGTGTCTCTACCAAGCCCAGACTGAGACTTTAGAAGCTCAAGTTGTTTCACTAAAGTAAGTGACCTCCGACTGCAGTCTTGATTATCAAGTCTTGTCATCAGTAAACTGTACTTATTCCAAATGGGAGCTCCTTATTTCCAGATCAGCTACCCTGTGGCTCTGTGTCTATATTTAGGAAGGACTTGGTGAGCTGTCAGAAAGAGTGTGAGGAGGTGAAGGAGCGTCTGAGGCATAAGGAAGCAATGGCAACTTTGGGGGGCACTACTCAGCGTGTTGGGGGGCTGTGTGTGAAGTGTGCTCAACATGAGGCTGTCCTGGCAGAAACTCACACCAATGTTCATGTCCAGGCCATTGAGAGAGTTACGAAGTGAGTAGATTGTTCTTTCACTGTTCATTTGTTAGCATCTTCTATATGTGGTTTATAATAATAATAATTATATTTTTATTTAAAGAGTACTTTTCGTACATGTAGCAGCTCAAAGTTATTTGTAATGAAATAGCAAGTTTAAGAAAATAAAAGAAGAAAAACCCAAGATAAAAAATAAGTAATAAAAATAAAATAAAATAAAGTAGAATGTAAAATGAAATGTTAAAGGGTCGGGCTGGGCAATATGACAATATATATCATTATTGTGATAAATTATCTCACAAAAGAATACAGTATACATTCTGAACATATTGCGGATATCGTCAGTACTTGTAGTCCACTGACCAACTGCTGTTTCGCTATAAAGAGCGCAAAATTAGTCTTATTTGACTGTATTTAGTTCAACACAATATGTGAAATATTGAATAAAAATCATTCTATTGAGTTTTTGATAGTATTTTTTAAATGTAGCACTACTGGTTCTTTTTTCTTTGTTTCAACTTATCAGATAAATATCGTGACATATCGTGTATCGTAAACATTTCTTGAAGTATCACGATATTATATTTTTGTCATATATCCCACCATATGAAAGGAGAATTCCACTACTTTTTTACATTATTAAATTTTATTTATGCAACATTAAATCGTTATTAAATCATTAGGATGACAGCAGAGTCATTCAGGAAGATTTGATATGTAATTAATCTGACTCGGGATACTTAGAAGAATTTTTCACAGTGGTGCTGATAAGAACCACAGCCCACATTCACAAACCGTCTCAGAGCAGGACATCAGATTCCTTTCTTATTTACCATGTCTTTCCTGAGATGGAGTAGATCAGTTCTCCTAATCTGAGAGGCTTTGTAAATACGGACCCAGATGTTTGAAGTCTTTAATGCCTTAAAAACTACCTCAAAGGGAGTTATTACATGAAATAGTAGTACATGAAATATGCCGCCTGGTTTCTGAGACCTAACCTTATTTATTAATCTCCATTTGGTGTGGAGAAGTACAGGACATTGTAATGCAAAATAGTCTCCAAAGAAAATGTATTTTTTTCAGATTTACCACTAGTTTAACTTTATCAACAGCAGTTTCTAAGTATACATAGTAGGTTTTCATATTAAATCTGATTTGGCCATATCTAAAAAAATGGTGCTTGTTTGACGATGTTAGGTGCCATTAAACATAATTCAAATAAAAAAAATGTTAGAGGATGGTTTTGTTTTCTTGGAATGTCCACTGGAAAGAGTATTACAATAATCTACTACAATTATAAGAGAATTACAGTAATTTATTACAGTATTACAAATTGTGTGTCCATTCACAGTACCAGGATGCTACACATTTTGACCAGATGTTTGTAAATGTGTTGTGAAGCAAATTTATAGTTAAATTAAAAATGCGCTTGACGACTATTTTGATATTTCTGTACACGGGCATAGAGCTAATATCAGTATAGTCTAAAAATCATTTTCAACTACAACTAAACTTTCCTCTGGTTTGACAGAAATAATATAAGGAGAAAATGAATTGAAATATTGAAATACACCATTTTTGCTTCACTGGATGTCCTGGCCCTATTACGGGCCGTTTGTCATTCATCATGATACAAATATATAGTGTATTAGTCAGAGTATACTAACCTGATTAACTGGAGCATCATTAATTAAAACTTAACCAGTTTTTCACTGAATTGTTGCTGTATTCAAAACTGGCATCGTTCACGGTTAACCCTTGCATACTCCTAATATCGATTAGAAACCCATGCTGTCTTTAAATGGACTGATTGCTCTTTACACGTTTTATTGATTTAATGATTGCCTTGAAGCTACAGTTAATACTGGAAGGTCATTAACAGCAGTATGTTACATTATCTCTGTTAGTTTGTTGTTTTTGGCTCTTCCATTGATTATTCAACCTTGCAGCAAGATGGCAGGGATGTCTGATATTGACTTTAATCACAGAGCAGATCGACTGATTTGTAGATTATAGATCACACCAAAGCAACCTTGAATTCCTTATCACGATAGAAGGACACTATAAATAAGAATCCAAACTAATTTCTGAATAGTGACTGCATCTCTTTTAATTGTTCAGTCATTTATGATTCATCAATAAGAATACATTTAGCTTATCCCAAATTAATGTACTTTATCATCCTTTAATGATCTTTTCGGTTGTGCGCGTGTTTCATATAGAGAGCGAGATGAGTTGATGACAGCGCTGTGCGCTTTGAGGGCCAGTCAGGGTGAGACTCAGCAGAGGGAGTGGGCTGCCTATCAGCAGGTCAAACAGGCTGTGGAGATGGCAGAGGAGGCTAACCTGGAGAAGACCAAGGTAAGAACACTCACCTTTATTCTGGTACCTGTTTCAGCAGTCACAGGTTTAGCATTGGTGTGTGCATACAGGACAATCTGTCCTGAGGCAGAAGGAACTTGTAAACTCCAACAGCAAAAGAAATTAAGGTTTGCGTGTTGGTTGTAGGCATTTGACGGAAAAACAATATATTCCATTGTCTTCTGTCAAGCAGTGACAGAAAATTTTGCCATTGTCAGCGGCGATGGCAGTGTACTGGAGTGGTCAGGGGAACGTTCTGTCAATTGTCCAGACGTCTGCTGTCAACCATGACAGTGGAATAAACTGGATGTTCATTTGTTGGGATCCATGAACTTCGAACGGCTCAATGTTGTTGTCCGGGCGTACTGAGTATTACGCAATCAAAAATGAAAAGCTTACCAAGCATCCTCCTGCCTTTTCCACATAAAATCAACAGTCCACACTGCAAAACCTCTCTTTGATGATCATCCGTTTTTACCAATGACACTGTCTCCTTGTCAGTGCTGTGACCATGGCAGTGTCATTGTTGAAAGCGTACTACTATAAAGCACACTGCAAATTATAGCCATGATTTCGCAATATTTACTGCAAATGTCTCACAGAAAAACAATGCATTTATTTTATTGTGAAATCAACTCATCTGAAAATAGCACAAATTACAGTGAGGTTGACATTGAGCTGTACCACACAGCATTATGGGGAAATGTCATGATCTAACTGAGAGTTAAAAGGGCTTGAACATTTTAAATGTTTTTATTCTGACAATTCAGGTTTTGGTGTTTTAAAGACTTTTGAACCTCATTATGTTAAACGCACTGGAGGTTTTTATGTATTAATTTATTTATCTGATTGTTTAAATCCTGAGAGTACTAAGTAACTGACTCAGTTCTTTGTTTAATAGACATTACTAGATGTGTGTTTGGTCATGTTTGTGCAAATTATAAGCAAGGTTAATCTGTCTGTAAAATATGTATTTTAATGTGTATGTATGACCCAAATGCAAACTTGAGATATTCCATGCATTTACAGTGCGAAACATGGTGAATAAATATGTTCATTGATTTTTTTAAAAAATATAGATAAACATATATACATATGCACATTTACAGGTCTGGTAAAATTAAGTCATTTTATTCATATGTAAATTTACTGCTGTCACAGTGTAAATTTGATATTTTACTCTAATAACTGTTAATAACTAATTTTACAGTGAAATCTTTATACTGAACATTTATTTCAGTGCCAACCTGTAAACAGAGCACTAGTCAAGCCTTTGATGTAATGTGATGTACTGGAAAGAAGAAATGCTACTCTCTGACTACTTTCACAAGTTTTCCAGACCGCTCTCTCTTTTCCAGGCATACTCTTTATAATGATCCTCAGTGTTGTTGCTTAAGAAATGCTGTAGTGCTTTTCACCCTTATACAATACAGGTTTTAGGATGAGACAGACATGATAGAATATCTTATCAAAGCTATTCAGGTAAAAAAATGCAGTTACATTCACTTTGACATAAATAGCTTTTACATAAATTCGTTATAACATAAGTTCCTTTTACATAGGCCATATGTAGGAAAGATGTTAGACCTGGCAGGTGTGTTTTCAGGTATTGTAAAACTCCACCCACATCACTACACTGGTAATGTATTATGCACATTCTTCCCTCTGGGTAGCTAGTCCAATCTCAGAAAAAATTAATTCTACAGATCTACAAATTCTTTTGACTGTAGAATTTGTCAGCATGTAGTACATGTTTCACATAAATGTGACAGAATTCATCAGCTGTTGAAATGGCTTCTGTTACAAGTGGCTTTTGAGTCTACTTGTTGTCTGTTGTTTTCTAAGTACAGGGAAATTTGTTTAACTTATTATCCATGGTAATCGACTGTGTGCTACAGATGTGGCAGACAGAGATTTGGTTAAAAAATACAACGCTTTTGTTGAGGAGCTGATCCTAAATCTATGGCCTAAACAAGAAAAGACTGAGCCTAATGTTGCAGTATATACCACCAAGCAGTTTATGAAACCTTTTCCATATCAAATGTTGATGGTGCTTCTGATAATGAGTTTGAATGCTAACTAGCTGTGCTTTTTTCTTTCCTGTGTTTTTTTTCCAGGCACTAGTGCAGTGTGAGCATATGCACGCTGAGCTGGCCAGGCAGAGAGAGAGACTGGAGAAGGAGCTGGCCTCCGAGCAGGAGAAGATCTCCCAGGCCAGGGAGTCAGCACGCTCTGAGAGCAAGCGAGAGAAAGAGGAGCTTGCCCAGACAGTCAGTTTTTTACATGACTGAATTACATTTTAAAGCCTTAAATGTTTAGAAACATAGAAACATTTTACACTTCATGCAAATAGAAACACAATTTTGCAATTTGGGTGAGGGTGAGCAATTTTAATAGGTTAAAAAAAAGTAACCTTTGCTGCCCTCTAGTGGCTAAGACAGGATAATACCCAAGAAATTTGAATTCTGAATGCAAGAAAATTGGTGACCTTATTTCCAATGAATCCATGTTTTTTCTGGTAATTATTGTTATTTATATTGTTTTTTCCAATGTCCTGCCACACGCAATGTTACGTGTGCTTTTATAGTACTGTGAATGTGCAAAATTGAACATTAACGTTTGTAATGAAGAAAGAAGCAAATTTGCATGTCAAGGCTCTGAAAAGACATTAAAAACAAAATTCTGTTCTTGCATTACAATGCAAATATCACATTCCTACCATATAGAATAAAAAAGTTCGTTCTTTTTACAGGAAAGTAGTTAGGCCTGTTTGACCATATGTATGTGTGTGTGTGTGTGTATATATATATATATATATATATATATATATATATATATATATATATATATATATATATATTTATTTGTTCATCAGATTGCCTTTCATGTATTGACCATCACTACACTCATAAGGCTGTCTATCATAACAGCCAACAAACAATTAGTATAGTATATTTTATTAATTTTATTAACCATGATGTCAAGTATACTAAGGATACTTTTTACATAATGGGTTACCCCATGATTGCATAGTATGGTGGCTGAAGAGGCTGGAGGTGCTGTAATGGTTATAGCTACTTTCTTCAGTCATTGATCACAAAATAGATCCACTGTTTTGTAGTTTATGTAGAGGTCCCTTCTCTTAAGTACATATCAGAACAGAAGAACGTTATACACCCAGACTAATTTTTCAGTTGCGATTAACTGTGATTGCTTCTTCTTTTAACTTTCTATTAGTGTAGACTAATATATTTTGAAGTTCAAACTGCGCTTCAGTTGTTAACCACAAACAAACCCATGTAATAGATTTTTCTAATATGACCGTGTGCGTTTTTGTTCTCTGGTCTAGGTGACCTCTTTGACCAGGAGAGTGGCTGAGCTAGAGGGACTTTTGGACCGAGGAGAGAGAGAAAGAAACTCCCTTAACACACAACTAGAGGAGGCCTTTAAGAAGCTCACATCACAGGAAGCTGAAAGCAGCAAGGTTATCTGTCTAATGATTTCTTTAACATATTGAGGTTTATGTTGAGAGAACATTCATAGTAAGCTCAGATTACCTTGGTTAATCCATGACCACACACACCCAACTACAGAGCATAATGATGTACCATATAAGCTGCTTTGTCCTAAGGGCGTCCTTTAGACATGTATATAGACCGTGTTTTGTGTCTAGCATTAACCTCAACTGACGGCCAAGATGGAATACTTTAGAAATGAGTGATGGCCGTGCTGCTCCTATCATGTCTTTAGTATTATTTTATATGGGTAATTAGAAGCGACTTTGTAAAGGAATTAAATGGACACTAGATGGCAGTAGAGCTGTACAGATAGCAAAGTTTCATTTCTGGACCTATTGAGCAGGAGTCTGCGGAGCTGATGAAAGCATTTGCTTACTCATTTGATGTTTGAACTTGATGTGTAGAATTGTATCTTGGAAAACTGACAGGTTTGATGCAAAGTGACAGTGGCGAGGCATGTAAGTGTGTGTATTGAAGTCCACTGCCCTGTGTGTGCTAGGCGTGCGGAGAGCTGCGCTACCAGCTCAGCCAGGCCCAGCTTAAGAGAGAAGAGGCCGAGAGGGAGTTAAGGGACACCAGCTCCAAACTGAGCCGGCAGCTCGAGCTGGCAGAACAGGTGAGAGAGGCCGCATGAGTTCTGCATGATTTTGTTATTTAATTTAAATTCTCTCTGAAGAATGTGTTCTACATAAATAAGTTTGCACATGTGTAATTCAGAATGCAGACTTAAGTATTGTTTGAATTGGACTGGTTTTACCAGGTTCTGTAGTGTAATTTGTAAGGGATTTGACTATCTGATTTGTATGGTACAAAATATCTGTGTAATTTCCCCAATTTACCAAATAAATTGTGGATAAATTGCTTGATGTGTTGCACACGTCCATGTTATGCCTCAATAACAATAACAACACGGCACATGGCCATGTCTGTTAGCAGGTTCACTTATTACTCAGGCTGGGCAAAATGAAGTAATTATCATTATTGTGATAAATACTTTACAGTGTGTCACGATATGTTTTTCTGAGTATATTGTGTATATTGTAAGTACTGAAAGAACACTGACCAACTGCATATTTCATTAACGAGAAGCATAATTAATCCTGTTTAGTTGGATTTAATGCAGCACACGGTATGCAAAATGTTGAATAATAATTGTATTCATGTTATTTAGTAAATGTGACACTGCTTATTCTTTTTTTTGTCTGTTCCAACTGTTTAGAAAAATATTGTGACATACAGTGTACCGTGAAAATTTCATGAAGTATCGTGATGATATATTTTGGCCATATAGTCCACCTCTAGTTATTTCATTAACCATGATGTCAAATAGAACAGGACTAATACTACAGAAGGAGCTCTGGGTTTAGAAGTAATGCACCCTAGAATTGTGTGTTCAGACTTGTAATTAAACTATGGATACTGCAGACTCATACTGGATTAAAATTACAGAATGTTGTCTGTGATCAATGAAATTACAGTATGTCCCTCAGGGTGTAACTAATCCAACTAAAATAAGTGTTGATAAACATACATGGAATGATCAAGACAAAATACACAGGACATACTGAAAAGAGAATGTAAAAAAAAAACAAACAAAGATGGGATTAGAACAAATAACACATTCGCTAATGTATTTGTTTCTGCTTACTAACAGTTCTTCTCTCTCTCTCTCTCTCTCTCTCTCTCTCCGGGTTCAGGAAGTGCAGAAGCTGGGTGTGGAGTTGAGCGGCAGCCGGCAGCGTTTGGAGGAGGCCCAGAGGGCGGAGGGCCGAGCACGGGCGGAGGCAGCCGGCCTGGCCGAGGGGCTGAGCCGCGCCCAGCGCCAACTGCACCTCACCAGGTAACCCCCTTAATCCTATTACATGCCACAACACTGCGCCCGTCCGCTGGCCCCTGTGCACTGCCAGCAGCCTGGCGGGAAGGCCCATGCGTTTTATTAAAACGCCGCCAGCCACCGGCTGCCACCGCCACAGTCCACCGTGCACCAGGGGAACAGGGCTGGAGAGAAGGGGCACACACACTGTCTCCCTCTATAACGTCACCAACCCAAGTGCACTGCTGTTCCCCGAGTTCAGTGGCTGCACTGTGGTGTTTTGTGGTATTTTATGTCTGTGTGAAGCTAATTATTAAATATGAGCAAAATGTTTTGCCTGCCATTTCTGAATCAGCCTCAGACTTGACAAAATCCTTATAATTCTATGAGGAGTTAGAGGGATTTGTGCAAAGTGTGCTAGAGAACAATCATGTTTGGAAGAGCATTGGTTATTAGTAGCCTCCTGATACTCAGTAGAGAAAAGCTTACAAAGTACATTTCAACATTTAGTCTAAATTGATTTGAAAAAAGTTCTTCTTTTAAAAGGCAGGTCTTTAGTTTTGCACTTACATGTTCACACTTTGATTGCAACAAGCAAAGCAACAATTTCCACTTTTACTAATTTAGGCTACCAACATTTAGTGTCTACATAGCTCAAAGCGGTGTGTTCTATCTTTGTGTTTCACTGATTAACAGCATTATGTGAAGTTTTTTAAAGTCTAACATATTGTAGGGCTTTAAATGTTTCTGACATCTTGCCAGTTCTGTTTTGAGCTTGTTCCCGATGAACCCAAAGCTGTAACTTCTTTTGGTAATACTGCTGGATTGGCTTCCATGGAATATAAATTTATGCTTGCAAAGCTGGCTCCAAGAATTAGAATAGTCAAGAGTCGAGAATTTGTTCATTATGTTGGTATTCGTTTTAGTGTTTGGGAGCTTTTTGTAAGCCACAACATTTGTAACATGAACCACAATGTGTTTAAGGAACAGAAGCTTTAAGATAGAACAGTTATTGATAATATATGAAAGTTAATGTTAAAAAATTATCAGTGGTTTAAATGAATGAATCATAACAAAGATACCTAAGAAAACACATTTACATGAGTTCTTTAAATAATAAGATAATAAAGAAAATGTGCAGTGCAAAATCTGTTTGAAGAGATTGGTTTACCTTGGAGGCAAGTCGAGTTGAATGAGTCGTCTCAAAACGTGTTGTGAAAGTTATACTACAGTAATATTAAGTATAGTGATGCCAAGGACGTAGTATACTGGACTTACATCATGACTGATACCACTATTAATAAATACATTGTTGCTGCCCACTGGATTTGTTTTGAACTGCAGTTACAAACATAAATAAAATTATAGTTCATTAAGATTTTTTTTTTGTGATGATTTTTTTTATAGTATTTTTGTTGATGAGTATGCTGGTTCAACAGTTATTCAAAGCCTATAAATTGCTGTTTGGACCAGCCCTAGATGCTAGATTTTTTTAATTGTTGTTAGGTTTTGTTGATGAAACCCCTATACATGAAATGACGTGCATGTAGATATGATTGTCATTGACTGACTGAGCCACTACATTTCTTTCTTCGATGTCTTTTCTGTCTTCTACCCAAACAGAGATAGCAGGTTAGATTAAAGGTGTAGCTGTTCCCTGTAAGTTATGAATGGCTGTAAATATGAATTTAGTACAAAACAGGTCACAGAGTCCTTGATTTTGAGCAAGATGTTCATCTGTTGAAGTTATTTAAAGTTATTTTATGATGTAATTAAACTTAGACCACTAAGTTATCAGTGGAATGTGAATTTGGCTGTCCATTCAGTAAAACAGCTAAACTGACTACTAAAACACTCCAAACACATGTAGGTAAACAAAATTCACCTGTCTCCTTATCTGACATAATAAATTCCTAATCAAAAATTGTAATGTTTTGGTTTACAAATAAGATAGAATACTTTAAACTATATAAAAGTGTAGTTAAATATGAAAAGTAAATATTATTTTTAAGGGCAGTATTGAGAGCCCTAAGTATTTGAGTAGTATGTGATGCTTGTAAAATGCTGTTCAGCCAAGCCCTACAATCATATTATTAAGAATACATAACCACATTGACTTCATGATGGGTCAGTTTTGAATGTCGAAGTGAATGACCTCACATAGCACTGATGTATTTGGCTCATCGGAAACCTGCATCAGTCTGCTGTTAGTCATGCTGAAGTCATAATGTGGGCAGAGGAGTGTGTCTCTGCTCTGTTGTGTGCTCATGGACAGACTATGTGAGAATCTGCCTGGCAGGTATCTCCTCATTGCTCTCCCTCCTTTGGGCAGAGGTGGCAGAGGCTGCAGCGCTGTATATGACACCTCCAGTCATGGTGGCACAGATGTGGCCCTGCAGCCTGTGGAGGAGAGGAAGGTCATAGGGTTGAACCATCAACTGTCCTTTACCGTACTGTTAAAAGTAAAGGTTTCAAATTGAGTTATTTGTGATGCCATAGAGATTCATTTTTAGTTCCCTAAAAAGGTGTAGATCTTAAACATTCAGAGACTCAACATTCAGTGTCTGCATGTATCAACATTTGGAATTGGAGCTTTCTCTGTGCTGCCGTGGTTTCCTTTTCTGTATAAAAGTGATGGGATTATTGTTCAGTAGTCCTGTGATAGTTTGAGTATTTTTGATTTGTTTCAAATGTAACAATAAAAGGTGACTGAATTGTGAAGTATATCATTAATTGCATGTTATTTGTAGTTAATCATGATTAATTGTATTTGTTCAAGTTTTAGAGTTTTTTTTTTTATTCAAAAAGTAGTGCATTTTGTTAAAGTTGTATGAATGGACAAAATAAGCTTCATCGGGATGTATTATTTACCTTCAGTAATTCAGTAGCATTGTTTAATTGTGTGAGTGCTGAAACATTATTTTTATCGTGTGAAGGCGGTTGGTGTAGTGGGTGACACTGCTGTTGTCCTTGCCACAGACTTTGGTTTGAGGTCCCCTCCTGGGCAAACATACCACAGCAATAAGGCAAGGGCAAGACTCCTACTGCTACATTCACCTAACGCTGTCATATGATTAAATTGCAAGTCGTTCTGGATAAGGCTGCATTCACAAGACATTTTGATATCCGTCAAAAGAAATGCATTGATAAGCATTGCTGGTTTGTTGTGGGTGTGTTTGTGGGCGAAGATTGTTGCAAGTGAAAACTTGTGCAAACATCAGAGCTCATAAACGAAAACTACGAGTTGTTTTTTTGTTTTTTTTTTTAAATCAAACCAGTCTCTTTCTTACTATATCTTTCCAGATTCACTACCATTTGTTTTGGATTGTTTTATTGTCTCATATTGTTTTGCTATCTGGTGTAGACCAGAGAAGGATGGAATGTACACTCCATGAAAAGTTCAACTCTGGTGAACTTATTGAACAATAGTGATTGTCATTTTCGCACACTGCAGTGTGTTGGTGGCTGCTGTCAATCAAAGCATAATTCTCATTGAAATCAATGGCCACAGGTGCATTTTTTACAAATACAAAAATGTCTTCATGAATGCGTCCTAAGAGCGTCTTCCAAGTGCATAAAGTAAATTTAAATGCAGGGTTCACCTGAAAATCATGAGTCCAGTGAGAAAAACAGCGACTCCAACAAAATGTTTATATATACCATATAGTGTGTATGATATATACAGTCAATGGTTTTAACTCCTCCGTGAGTGTAGCCTCTCGCTCGTGCATGTTCATACAGCTTGTGGATTCTTGTTTCAGTGGAGGCTGTTGAGGGGAACTGGAGCTTTGCTGTTGCTTTTGTTAGTTTGCTGCTCATTGACTTAACCACTGTTCTCTTGAGAGAATTGTCCAGCGTAGTCTGTTGAAGGGCTTGCTTTAAAAGCTATTAAAAGCTGTATTTGTGCAAGAGGCCATAGCAACATACAGTACACATGCAGAAAGATTTGTGGTGTTCATAATTTATTACATCAACACATTATTAAAATGGTATTAACAAATTATTAATGCGTTAACTTTGACAGCCCTAAAAATATACGGCTTGATTGGATCATGTTCTTTAAATATTGAAGTAAGTGTGACAACAACATAGATGCTTTTTTTTGTTCAAAATTAAAGGCATAAACGACTATTTTTGTACATGAGATGTGTGAAAAAAAAAAAAAAACTTTCTTTAAAGTAGGTTAAAGAACTCTGACATAATAATGTTCTGTACTAATTCAAAGTTTGAATTAGTACTGTACATCCACGCCAAGAGCCATTTAGGAATATTTACTTTTTAAAGAACAAGAGTCTCAAGTTTAGGGCTCGTAAAGCCTTAGTCCAGCACAATCTCTTCAAACTTGATTTAACTCAACATCAAGTTTTGTAGGTGTGTTTGAGCAGAAAACTCACCAGGCTGTGCTGGACACTGGCTCTCCAGGACCCAGTATCTTTGCTTTGAGCAACTAATAACAATGTACTTAAGAAAATTGCCCTTTGTTTGCTTTATACTCAAAGTTCTGCATCTTTCCTTGACCCAGTGCATTTCCACACCCAACACCTGTCTTATGGTGACTCACAGTGAGGCGTTCCCCTCTTCCATCTCCCTCTGAATGTTCCATCCTGCAGCAGTAAAGCGAGGCGATGTGGCAGCCTCAGTGGGTTTGGATGGCATGCTGGGTCCTGTCCCTGTGGAGGTAACATGCTTCTTGCAGCATCTGAGACAGAGCTGCACAGCTGCAGAGGAGGGACAGCATCTGTTCACCAGAGAGAGGAGGCCGAGTATTACAGTGCAGTCATGTATTGTTTATGAGGCATTATGAAGAGCCATGCTGTTCAGGAAACATTAGTGAATAATTTGGGCTATTTGTTTACATTTGGTAAAGTCGTTGTGTACTTGACTACACGCTTCTTCTAGACTCAGCATCCATTATTTGTGTTGATTGGTAGGCACATATGCTGTGTTGTAAGTGTGGCATCTGCATATGAATTTCGTAGTCTTTACATATGGTAATACAATCATGTAAAATCGTTGAAGTCTGATAT